CATATATTCCAGTTCAATGCAAACAATGTGGGATTCTATTCAGCTGTGTGGAAGGGGCCACTGTTGCACTCAGGGGTGGGAAGGAAAATTGTACCACCTGGGTTGCCAGAAAGGCTAAATCCATCAACAGTAATAGATTCTGGTCAGAGCCATCTCTAGCTGCACTCGGCAACAGAAACACCTATGCGTACTGTGTGTCACAAGGCTTATCAACAGTGTGTGAAGAAACAATGTGTTATGAGTCATCCCTCACTCTGGATCCTGACAGCTACTACATCAGAGCTCATAAGACCATACCACTATAAGCTTACTGCAGGGTCGGTAAAAGTGCAGTGCCTCCTAACTTTATTGGACTCCACCTCCCAGCAACTCTAGTCAAAATAGCCATGGGTAAGGAAAGCTGGATCTTGCAACCCAACATCATCTGGATGGCCTCATGGTGTCTAGGCAGGGCCCATATGCACAAATAAGAAAAGATCAACTGAAAAATCAGAAATCAACTGAAAAATCTAAGCATAAAAATAACCCTCTGGTACATCTTTTAAGGGGGGGGGGATACATGTACACTCATCCTTCCACAGTTAACAGTTTTGATTTTTTTGTGGATATGATAATTCATGAAATGTTTTCTCTAGGAATCTTTTGGTCCTCCAATGCAGTTCTGTGGTCCAGTGAAAGTTGACCATGAAGTCACACTATAAAACCTAGACATTCCTACAGAGGTGTTCTCTCAGGTTAGATCTCTAACCTTGTAAAGCAAAGGCCAAGAGTATGTTTAAAGACACAAGAACTGGCTCACATTGGCCACTCGAATTGTAAGCAGTACATTTTGTAAGACACTGGTATGGCTCAATTTTAGTCTGAAAGCATTAGATTCTGAATGAAATGATAGCTTCAGCATCACCAAGCACTTTCAGGGCATAGCAACAATCATCTTGGCAAATATGAAAACTATTTTTGCTCAGTACTTAAGATAGGAACATTACTGGTTCCTTCAGGTGTGATACATTGCTACAAGATCTACATTAAGAGGCTCCTGCCCCTCACATGGATAGCACCATCTGTGCATATAACTATCATTTCTGCAGCTGACATATGTGCCGGTGAAGGAATAGTACAGACCTAGTTGTGTCTCACATTGAGCTCTGAGGAGGAAATCAAGCACATAGAATGTTTTTGTACCTCTATGTGCTTAATTTCTTCCTCAGAGCTCAATGTGAGACACAAGTAGGTCTCTACTACTTTTCAAAAACCACCACCTTGAGAGGGAAACCAATTTGGAGCAGCTGTCCAAGAGTGACACATTAACTATTGTGCCCCAAAGAAACACATGTGAATGGCATGACACCCAATAGATCAGTGGTTCTCAACCTGTTAGTCCCCAGGTGTTTTAGCCTACAACTCCCAGAAAGCCCAGCCAGTTTACCATCTCTTAGGATTTCTGGGAGTTGAAGGCCAAAACACCTGGGGACCCACAGGTTGAGAACCACAGGTTTGAGTTGTAGATATTTATTCCACCAAAAAGTGTAACATTTCTCCTTTCTGCATCATACTCTAGGGCAGTGGTTCTCAACCTTTTTAATGCTGCATCCCCTTAATACAGTTCCTCATGTTGTGGTGACCCCCAACCATGAAATTATTTTTGTTGCTACTTCATAACTGTCATTTTGCTACTGTTATGATTCGTAATGTAAATATCTGATATGCAGGATGTATTTTCATTCACTAGACCAAATTTGGCACAAATACCCAATACGCCCACATTTGAATACTGGTGGGGTTGGGAGGGGGGGACTGATTTTGTCATTTGGGAGTTGTAGTTGCTAGAATGTGTAGTTCATCTACAATCAAAGAAAATTCTGAACTCCAAACTTGGTACACAGAACTCCCATGACCAACAGAAAATAGTGAAAGGGTTTGATGGGCATTGACCTTGAGTTTTTGAGTTGTAGATCACCTACATTCAGAGAGCAATGTGGGCCCAACCAATGATAGATATAGACCAAACTTGGCAGGAATACTCAATATGCCCAAATGTCAACACTAGCAGAGTTTGGGAAAAATAAGACATTTGGGAGTTGTAGTTGCTGGGATTTATAGTTCACCTACAATCAAAGAACATTCTGAATTCCACTGACGATAGAATTGGACCAGACTTCCCACACAGAACCTCCATGACAAACAAAAAATACTGTGTTTTCTGATGGTCTTTGGTGATCCCTCTGACACCCCCTTTGTGACCCACCCAGGTTGAGAAACCCTGCTCTAGGGAAAGGTTTCAAGTTAAGTGCCATTTCCCCATTATCCATTATCCCCATCATCTCTTCTTTCTACCAGTGACACGAAATGGACTTGAATGTAACACATGACTCAAGAGACCCAAATCTCAAGGCAAAAACAAAAGTGGAGACATTACAAAGAGCAAGAACAGTGTTCGCTTATGCATTAGCTGCCTCGCCTTTAACACACACCAGCAATCTGATCATTCAAGTAACCCATTAGAACATGAAGATCTGAAGCAATTGAAGCTACTCAACAGAAACCTCCATTAGGGATGTCATAACCAGCTGTTAGACTGTTCCAAGCTCCACATTTCAGAAGAACGCAGAAGATAAGGAGTCCACCGGATTTTGATGCTTCTGCCTGACTCTGAAGTGAAGATCATGGGCGATTATAATGCTTAAACCCTTCAGGATGAGGGCAGAATCAAAGACCACACCTGCGGAGGGCAACCTGCTCTCTTCTCCCAGCATCTACAGCAGGTATGGGCAAACTTGGGCCCTCCAGGTGTTTGGACTTCAACTCCCACCATTCCTAACAGCCTCAGGCCCCTTCCTTTTTCCCTGCAGCCGCTTAAGTGGCTGCAGGGGAAAAGGAAAGGGCCTGAGGCTGTTAGGAATGGTGGGAGTTGAAGTCCAAACACCTGGAGGGCCCAAGGTTGCCCATTCCTGACCTAGAGTATTTCTATTATTCCTTATAGTACATCACAGTGCCATACAGATGGCTTTTCCTATCAATATTATGAAAATAGTCTGGTCCAGGTGACCATTTTTTCACTCTTAGGAGGAAAAAGTTCACCCCTGTTTTTTAAAAAGCCCCAATGCTCCCCCACAGGAGTCACCTGTCAGCTGTGCTCTTACATAAGGCATCTCCTTCCACCCGTTTCAGAACAAAAACTAATTTGTTTCCCTCATTTCAAAACCGAATAAAGAGGAACGAAAAGCAAACAAGGAGGAGGAGGCTGAGAGGAGAACTTGATCAAGGCAAAGATTGCTATGTAGAAAGCCTGGCAAAGGGCAGCTCATGCTTCAGCGGGATCTAACCCGTCGTGGCCAAAAAAGGGAAAAGGGGAGCACGAAAAATGCAGTTCTTGGCTTCCTTGGCTTGACACAAATTGGGCACTAAAAGCCAGCTGGCTTGGAGAGAGAGAGAGAGAGAGGAGGGAGAGAAGTCTGACTGCCTTCTAAGCAGCAAGGAAAGGGAGGGCTGGCTTGCCTTGTCTATGGTGCCTCCGTCTACACGGGGACCATATCACATTAGAGGATGAATCCACTTTAAATCCGGTTTCTGCCTCCTGTAGAATTCTGTGGTTTGTAGTATAGGAAGGAGCCTTTACCAGCCTCACTAAACTACAAACCCCAGAATTCTGCAGGAGGCAGAAACCGGATTTAAAGTGGATTCATTCTCTCGTGTGATGAGGTCCACGGTGGAGAGGTAATGCAGTTTGGCAACACTTGGGCTTCCATGGTTCCATGCTGTGGAATCATGGGACTTGTCATTTTACAAGGTCTTTAGCCATCCCTGCCAAAGACTACCATCCTGTAGCTCCCTGGGTTTCATACTACGAAGCCTTGTGGCCTCAAGCTGCATTCATTCTACAGTGATTTTTTTCCGTGTTAGGAGCGACTTGAGAAACTGTAAATCGTTTCTGGTGTGAGAGTATTGGCCGTCTGCAAAGATGCTGCCCGGGGGACGCCCGGATGTTTGTTTTACCCTCCTTGTGGGAGTCTTCTCTCATGTCCCCGCATGGGGAGCTGGAGCTGACAGAGGGAGCTCAACCCACTCTTCCTTGATTCGAACTTCCGACCTGTCGGCACAAGAGATGTAGCTCCATAGGGGGAGAGGGCTTTAGGTTTTGCACGAAACCTTCACAGCGCTTCGGGTGAGTGGATTGAGGGGTGAATGAAGGAATGCCCCCCTTCCCTGCCCATCTCCGCAGTTAGAAAGCAACCCGTGCTCCCTGCGGGGCTCACTCTGCGGTGGAGACATCCGGAGCTGTCGCCTTCGGCTCCCGAGGAAGGCAGGCGCCTCGAAAGCAGCCAGCAGCCCGAAAGAACAGGAGCCCCTCGCCCCCTCCAGGGCTCCAAGGCAAAAGAAACCCGGCGAGGCGGAGGCGGAGGAGCGAGAAAGCCTCCGGGTCTGGCAACAGGTGCCCGCCGTAGAGGCAAGTTGGCAGGAAAAGGCCAGCTATTCCTCTGGGAGGGAAGGAAAGAAAGGGCGCCAAAGAGAAGCCATGCCAAGAGGCAGAAGGAAGAAGGGAGAGAGGGAGAGGAAAGCGGAGGAAGGGAGAATAACAGAAGAGGGAGAAGGAGGAGAAGGGGAGGAAAAGAAGGAGAAGAAAGGGAGAAAGAGGAGAAGGGAGAGAAGGAGAAAAGGGGGAGAAGGAAGAGAGAATGATAGAAGAGGGGGAAGAAGGAAAGGGAAGGAAGAAGAGGAGAAGGAGAAAGAGAAGAAGGAGGGAGAAAATAGAAGAGGGAGGAGGAGGAGAAGGAAAGGGAACGAGGAAGAGAAGGAGGAGGAGAAGAGGAGAAAGAGAAGGGGAGCAAGAATAGGAGGAAATAAAGAAGAGGGAAAAGGAAAGAAGGCGAAGAAGGGGAGGAAGAGAAGGGGAGGAAGAGTAGAAGGCGAAATACTAGAAGGAGAAGGCGAGAAGGGGGCGAAGAAAGGCACCCCCTCCACTCCCCCGCCCCCCCAGCCCCTTGTTCCCGGACCCCTCGCACCTTGTAGACATTTTCCGTGATGCGGTGCACCTCCTCCGAGCGCGACATGGCGAGGCCGGCCCCTCCGGGGAGCACCATCGGCGGCCGGGCAGAAAGAGAGGGGAAGAGAACGCGCGAGCGAATCCACGCGGGAAGCTTCCGCGGAGCCGGTGGCAAGCAGGGCGGAGAGGCCGGGCGCGGGGCTTTTATACGGCCTCTAGGAGGCCGGCCCCCTCCTTCCCTCCCTCTCTCCCTCCCTTCCCTCCCTCCCTCCCTCCCTCCCTCCTTCCTTCCCTGCCTGCCTCCTTGCCTCCGCCTCCGCCGCCCGCCCCCGGCTCCGGCTCCGCCTGCTGCTCCTCGGTCCTTCCCCGGCGAAGACCGAGAGGGAGGGAGGGAGGGAGGCGGGGAAAGGCGAGGGGAGGGGGCCACGCCTCCCCCAGGCACAGTCAGAGGCGCCACGCAGGGAAAGGGGAGGCAGCACGCCCGCCCGCCCGCCGCGCTGCCCACGCCGCCCCCGGGGGTGAAGAGGCACCGCCGTGCCCTCCCGCGCAGACCCAGGCTTTGAGCCACCCGGGAAGGGGCCGCCCCCGCCCTCCGCCGCCCCACTGCTTCTCCGTCACTCCCCACCGACTTCCAGGTGCTCGCCGAGGAAGCGGGGAGGCACCCCAGGAGCCAGAGCGGGCCCCCGAGTACACAGAGGGAGCCGGTATCCGTTGGGCTGTGCTCAATCCGCGGGTGCTCAAGTCCCCTGAAACGCGAGGGCAGAACTCAGTGGCGTCCCTTACCTCAAATGGCAACGTCAAGGGTTGCTTTCAGGAAGATAGCTTTGAGACCCGAAGAAACAGTAAGCAGAACGAACACGAGTCAAGGAACATGAAAGGCACCGCAGACTACTTCAACCTGAGAAGTCAGCCATAGCGGAGCACCTGATGAACCAACCTGGACACAGCAGATTATTTGAGAACACAGAAATGCTGGACCACTCTCACAACCACCATGTCAGGCTACACAGAGAGAAGCCACTGAAACCCACAAGCATGTGGACAATTTCAACAGAAAGAAGGAAAGCACGAAAATGAGCAGAATCTGGCTACCAGTATTTTAAAAAAACCTCTAAAATCATAAAGACAGGGGAGCTCCAGAGGAGAAACAATCAGGGACAGGCAGTGTTCGTTCTGCTTACTGTTTCTTCTCAACAAAGGATGCCCCCAGGTAGTAAGAAGCCAGACCTTGAAAACTTCTAGGCCGTCAAATAGTAATCAAGTTGGCCAATTGAAACATTCAAACCTCCTTCTAACAGACCAGAGTTCTTTCTCCCATCCTGGACTTTCCACTGATACATAAACCCAACTTTCCAAGTTCCAACAGACCTCACAACCTCTGAGGATACCTGCCATAAGTGCAAGCAAAACATCAGGAGAGAATGTTTCTGGAACATGGCCAGCCCAAAAAACCTACAACAACCCAGAAGTAGTCATACTGTTGGCCTTTGGATTTTATGAATGGTCCCATTGGAAAATGCATAAAGATGTGGATAAACTACAACTGTCATTGCCCCCAAACCCCACCAGTATTTAAAGTTGTTTGGGGGGGGGGAGGTCTGTGTGCCAAGTTTGGTCCAGATCCATCACAGGTGGGGGTTCTGAATGTGTGTATGGGGGGGGGGGGCTGCAGCTCCCATCATGCTGGGCCGATCATCCCCAAACCCCTCCAGAATTGGTCTGTGTACCAAGCTTGGGCCAATCACTGTGCTCTCAGAAAAGTGTCTTGGAAATCTCACATASACATTCATACATATCCACAAACATATATACATACATATTTTCAGTTTCATTATATACTAGCTTAGGTACCCAGCAATGCCTGGTTTATGTACTTGGTAATTTGTAACACAATTTATTTGAAAAAGTCATTTTTTTAATTTTATGAATGGTCCCATGAAGAAAATGCATAATGACATGGGTGGACTTCAAGTCACATCATACCAGATTCCACCAGTACTTAAAAGCTAGTCATGTTGGGGATGTATGTCAAGTTTGCTCCAGATCCATTGTTGTTTGGGTTCACAGGGTTCTCGGAATGTGGATTAACTAGAACTCCCCGAAAATCAAAGTCAGCCCCCCCCCCCAAAAAAAATCCTCAGGTATTTTCTGTTGGTTATGGGATTCTGCCTAACCTGGTCCTGATCCGTCATCAGTGGGGGTCACAATGGTCTCTGGAAGTGGGAGGCAATAGGAAATCGGCCACAAACATACTTGCCCACAAACATATATATATTCACTCTTATTAGATAGATAGATAGATAGATAGATAGATAGATAGATAGATAGATAGATAGATGATTGATGATCTCTTGGATAGACAAGTGGACAAACGTCACAATTCAGACAAAAGCAATGATCCTCTGCCATCAACTTTGCTGGACTGGCCACATTGTCCAAATGCCCAATCACAATCTCCCAAAACAGTTACTGTATATACTCGAGTATAAGCCTAGTTTTTCAGTGCCTTTTTTTAGGCTGAAAAAGCTCCCCTCAGCATATACCTGAGTTAAGGTTGTTTATTATTTTTCTCTGTTTAATTTTTATTACATTTATTATTTTACTATATTTATTATTATTACACTTATGTTATTTTATTACATTTATTATTTTACTATATTTATTATTAGTAGTAGTACATTTATTATTTTACTCTATTATTTATTTATTTACTATATTTGTATACTGCCTTTCTCAGCCCATGGGTGACTTTATTATTATTGTTATTATTACATTTATTATTTTACACTATTTACTATTATTACATTTATTATTTTACTCCTTATTTATTATTATTGGAAGGATACGTAAGCACATTTACATGGAAGAAGGTCAGAATGATGGTTGAATCAGCTGGACAGTCTTATCTTACATTACAGTTTTATGTAAAGATTCAAAAACATTTAACCTACTGATGCCTCAATTACTGTAATATTATTGGTATCTATTTTTATTTTGAAATGTACCATTCGCTGCTATATTTCCCATCTTCGGCTTATATTCGAGTCAATACATTTCCCCAGTTTTTTGTGGTAAAATTAGGTGCCTCAGCTTATATTCGGGTCGGCTTATACCCGAGTATATACAGTACTTTATTCTCAGATCAAGAATGAAAAACAGAACGTCGGACAGCAAAAGGGATTTAAAGATGGACTTAAAGGTAACCTTACAAATGCAGTATAGACACCAAGAACTGGGAAGCCCTGGCCCTCAAGTGATTGAACGGGCTGTCAGCTGTTACCAACAGTGCTGTGAACATTGAAGAGGCACAAAAAGAGGGTGAAAGGGAGATATGTCAAGAGGAAGGCATGTCAAACAAACCCTAGTTGGGACCACCTTCCATCTGGAAATGTATGTCTTTATTGTGATCGACCATGCAAATCCAGAATAGGTCTCTGCAGCCACTTGCAAACCCGCTCTCAAGACTCTACTTCTCGAAGACAATAATATTCGACCATGAGTGATACTTAGGCAATCATTTGTTGTACGGGTATGATGGCCTTCCAAGTCAAGTATCTTGATGGTGGATCTGTTGGTGACTGTGGAGCCCTATTCTTGCCTTGCATGTTCTTCCACAGTGTAGGCATTGGTTTCCAAGTGGAAGGCGGTCCTGGTCAGGGTTGACTTGACATGCCTTGAGTGATAGTGCATGATGATATATAGATATTTTCAAGCTGTGGATAGGGAGGACCGACTGTAACTAGGCTGGGCTCATAGGTCAAGTAATACCAACTACCCTCTCACAAAACACACATACATAGTCTGTCCCCAAAGTAATGAGAATGAGGCAGCTCACAACTACACAATCTGATCACAGTTTAAAACAATGTGAATGCAAAAATAAAAAACAATTAAATAATACAGTGTGGATTAAGGTAAAAATGGATAAAATATAATAAACGTACTTAAAATAGTTTTTAAAACTCACAACCACCACCCACTCCGAATCTCTCCTACACTTCCGCATCATCATGCCACTTACTCTTCCCGAAATGTCTGCTGGCAGAAGGAAGTCTGGCTTGTGGGAGGCCAGTAGGGATGGGGCCTGGACCAAAGTCGTATAGGGCTTTGGAGGTCAAAACCAGCACTTTGAATTGTGCCCAGAAACAAGTTGGCAGCCAGTGGAGCTATTGCAACAGAGGAGTTGTATGTGACTAGGTTTGGTGGAAGTTGGGAGTCCACCAACGTGGAGTACTACAGTAAGGTCCACCAATAGATTAGACATCCTCATTCACAGTCCCTCCTCACTCCATCCTACAATCCTTCTAAAAATATGGCTTCATTTGAATGGGAGCTCAGCAAAGTTTGGTTGTGGTTTGCTGCTTGACTCTTCCCCCCTCCCCCCAATAGTATAAACTAAGATAATGGCTCTTCAAGAACTGGCATGGTGCAATGGTCTGAATGTTGGACTACAACTCTGGAGACCAGAGATTAATTTGTTGCTCACTGGGTGACCTTGAGTGAGTCATACACTCTCAGCTCCAAAAAAAAAAAACCCAAACCTTTAGGATCATCATATGGTAAAAACAACTGGAAGGCACTCAGTAAATAACAAGTGGTTCTTTATATGTACAAAGAGTTTCTCCTCACTTCTGAACAATTCATTCCCCACATGTCCTGAGAAAGAGTTAGAAGGTACGATTCTAGAAGTATTAGAATTTAACCACATACACCCTCAAGGCCCAAAAGAACAAAAGACTTTTTTCTCCCAAAGTGTGTCCAGAAGCTGATGAAATTGGCATCTTTGAGAACAAGACTGCATCTTCCACTACACCAGAAGGCACTAAGCAGGTTTAGAGGGTTAAGGGCAGGTGAGATATCAGTCCTTCCATAGTTTTGCACCATTTCTTGCCCCACAATGTCAGCTGCCTGAGGGAGACACCTCTCTTCCTAGTGGCACACACTCTAAGAAAAGAGCCCCCAACTGCATTCCCTACTTTACTCATTCTGAAGCACAATAAAATATAGCACAGTTGAATGTTCTGCCATGCATAATCTACCACAATGCAAATGTATCGAACTCTTTCATAAGAAAGAATTTTTAGGAGCACAATTCAAAACAATCTTAACAGATTACAGAGA